ACTCTTTGTTAATAAACAAATAATTCGCAATAAAATAATATTGCGATTATAAATTGAGATATAAACTATCCTATCTTTCAAGTTGGATGATACTGTACACAGTGTGCAAAATTTTATTCAAATCGGTTCAGTAATTTAGGAGTCCATTGCGGACAAACAACGTGACACGTAATTTATATATATAAGGATAATGAAACATTAATAAAAATAACAAGTAAGACCATTTTTCTTCAATAATCACCATTAACATATATTTAAAAAACTAGTGCATGGTGAAATAAAATGTTACGAAATAAAATGAAAAAGAAAATGTGTTTGAAACTAGATTAAAACGTCGCGATTTACGTGATCTTATTTACATATTTAAATAATTCTTCGAATAAATTAAAAATATGAATTGTTTTTTTTTTCTTTTCTTTTTCTTTTTCTTTTTCTTTTTATGGGTGCGTGAGTATAATGCGTGTTTTCACATAAGATATTCACGACGACGTGACCAAAACAAATACGACCTATTTTGTTTGTCGACATATTCAGCTATTTTTGCGATTTCTTTGTACATTACCTCCTCCTGACCTTCCTTAGCTGCAATATGCAATGCAGTGTGCATATCCTTCGTCGTAGTATCGACAGCTGCACCATGTTGCAAAAGTAACATAACTATATCTATGTTACCCAATCTTGATGCAATGTGCAACGGTGTTTGTTGTTCCTACAAATATACAATTTCATTTTCTACGATTCGCGCCATTTTATTTAAAAAAAAAAAAAAAAAACAACATAAAAATTAACCTCACTTTTTCCCTCTCCAAAAAAATTATTAATAATAATAATAATAATAATAATAATAATAATATAAATAACAATAATAATGATGTTCAATTCAAGAGTGTATTTTAAACAAAAAAATATTTCAATTACGATTAATTTTTAATTATCTTTTTTTTTTTTTTAATATTCGAGAAGAACTTAACGTTTTGCAACAAATAAAATAAAATTGAAACGTGTTTTAACCTCTTAGACACTACGCGCCACTATAGTGGCTTTCGCGGATGACATTTTCCAGTACGACGCGTTACTATAGTAGCTTTCAGGTATACGCCATTTTCCAGTAGGATGCACCACTATAATGGTTTTCGCGGATTACATCTTTTAACACTAGATATATCAGACTAGTCATTTTGACTGGTCGGGGGCCATTTTAATTCAAAATTTCTACTTCATGTAACATTTGATTTATGTAAATAATTGAAAAATGTCTATAAATCCATTTATCTATTAAAATTATTATTGTTAAACATTTTTTGTTATTTTTTAAGAGTAAATAAAGATTGGAAGCAAAAGTTCAAAAAGCATTTTTTGTATACAACAGTCATTTTGACTAGTGTGGTAGAAATAGGTATACTGAAAATGGTGGTATTGGGATCTCTAGCACTTGAATACGCTATCTGGTGGCTAAATTCAAAATTAAAGTAGATAGGTCAAATTGCTACGCCACGTAGGGGATTTTTAGAACTTGAATAAGCTATCTGGTGGCTAAATTCAAAATTAGAGTAAATAGGTTAAATTGCTACGCCA